CTGAACTCACTCCAGTTGGTCAATGTCTTTCCCATGCTGCAGGGGCCCAGCACTGGACGCAGTACCCAGATGTGATCTAAAGAGTGCTGAGCAGAGGGGGATAGCCCTGTCCTCCCCCGGCTCTCCGGGCTGCACCCCTGCTTGTGCAGGGTGCTGCTGTCCCTTGTTGCTGGCCCCTGTTCGGCTCCCTGCCAGACAGGGCCCTGGGCCTTCTCCGAAGAGCTGTTCCCCATGCTGCTAACCCTGGTGGGACCACTGCCAGGGCTCTGCCCCCAGGCAGTGGCTGGGCATTTGTCCTGGCTGGGCTTCATGGTGCTCCCATTGGTCTCTTCCCACCCTCCGTCCAGGCTCCTCTGGATGGCTGCCCAGCAATCAAGTGCATCAACTAGTCCTGCCAGCTTCGTGCCATCTGCAGACTAGATAAGAATGTGCTCCGTCAGCAGGACAGGGCCAGGCTTGCCTGGCCGTTCATGCCTATCGATTTGCCCAATGTCCAGGTAACCAGACTTCCTTAGAAATAGCTTTTTAATGGAGCTCCACAGAGAAGTGAGGTCAATAACTAGATTTACCCACTGTAAGAGAATAGAAGGTGCATAACTCATTATGTGTCTGTGTCTCCTGTGCATACCAGTGTAAGCAAGAAGTAAATCCAGTCATCTTAACACTGTGTCTACATGTGATGGGCTAAATTTTTAAATATTTTTCATTCTCCCTGTCAACTGTATTTATCTATCTATATATGCAACTTTTGCCTCCTCAAATTCTGCTCTTTGGAAGCAGAATCTCTTGTGCGTGCAGTGCAATGACGTGCACATGTGGTTTGTGTTGCTGTCAGAGATTATGTTGAAGGGCTGCATTTGCTAGCAGCTGAACAGGAAAAGCTACATGCATGAGATAGATACAAACCGTGTTTTGAGAGTTTGGTCCTGCACTTTTGGAACCAATTTTATAAAAGAAGGCAACGAAGAGACCCAAGATAAAAGCTTACAGATTCTGACCCAATCTTCTCCTGTCTGCAAACAACGACTCAGGTGAGATTTTCTGTAGGATTAGAAGATGCCAGTCACTTGAGATGGTTGGAAAGAAAAGATGTCAGTCAAATATTAATGTTTTTGAGATGACCTGAAGTAGAATTATAACAGTTTGTTCCTTCTGCTGTTCGTCTTTCCTCTGCCCTTTGGTTCTCTCTATTAATATTAACAGGACGCAGTGCTTGTGCTGACATTCATGAAGATATTTCCCCTGCAGTCCTCCATTATGGTAGCTGAGAAAAACTTGAGACTTCAGCAGTACAATATTTACTCTTACAACTGTGCTGTCCCCTCTCCCCCTACCCCCACCTCCTGTTGGTCACAGGCTGAGGGCTGAATAAAGAACTTTGTTTGCTCAAGGAGCTGTTGAAGCCTGACAAACGCTCAAGGTAGCCATAATGCTGGGGGTTTTGTGCATGCTGTGCAGTTTTTTTCTTCCACTTTTTAAAAATGTTATATAAGCAGTTACCACAAAGAGAATACATTGTATTCACGCAATGTCAAATCAATGTGAACCACTTGAGCTTGTGACACTATGATACTAGCCCACAGCCTAAAATGGGTAAATAAAAATAAAACTTCTTGAAAAACTTTAGTGGTGGGACAACTCCTAGATACTGTTACTGAGAACACAGTTCCTTCAAGGATTTTACTGCCTGGAAAAGTTGTCAAATTAAACAAATAAAGAAGAAAAATATGGCAAATAGGCTTTGTTCTTGGAAGAATGAAATGAGCTGTGCAGCTTTGGCAGCCTGGGCACAACCATTTTTTCTCAGGACCTGAAAGGTGACATATCCAGCTCTTTAAGGGGGGACATTAATGTTTCTGTGGATGTGCTGGGAGCTTACTCTTTACAAGGCAGCTGTACAAAGTGTTACTGAAGTGTAAGACTTCTCCACTCCCCTTTAAACACTCCGAGCAGTACCTTACTGCAGAGACACCCTTTCTGAAGCCAACAGGGAAGATCCTCAGAGATTATGCTCCTGGTAAAAGAATCTCAGAAAAAATAAAGTCCTAACTCAAGGGTCCTTGAACATTCTAGACTTCAGAGCTATGATTAGCTTTACAACTGCTCTTTTGCACCCATTTCTTCACCATTTCATTTAGAAATACTGTGCATTTTATTCGTCCTTGTAGCTCAGCAGGGTACCACTCACCATGGCCTTACAGATTATTTCGGGGAGCCTTTTGGCAAATCTCCACCTACTCCTTCACACTCAATGAGATACTTGCATGGAAATTGGAACTAATCTATTGTCCTCCAGTTCATCATTGTGGAACTACACTGTATTGCCTCAGTCTCTCAGAGTACTCACTTGGACCAGCATTATCCACTGAAAACCTGTATATTGTTAATTTGCTGTGCAGGCTGGTTTTGAGTGATAACCATCTCTTTGATGTCTTTATGCAAACACTGGAAACAAGCAAGATACAACACACATGAATCTCACTGCTTATTGCACTGCTGGCGAGAAAGTATACCCATAATAATGTAACTAGAGTGACTGATGGTCCTGTAATCCAGATAGCTGGATTAAAGATCATCTGGATACATCTACTTGTGCTGTAGCATATCTCCAAATTGCAACTCTGAAACCCCATTACTGATGTAGCAATTCATCAGCTTTGACCTTGGACAAGATCATATTCTTGCCAGATGACAATTTTCTAGTCTTTTCCATAGAGACTGGAAACTACTGGAGTGATTCCTCACGATTTCGCATAGCAATTTATTTAACAGTGCTATGGTTTTAACTGAAATGCTTATAACACAAACTATTATTGCAGTAATCATAATAACAAGCCAGCTTCCTGTTCCTAAGAGACATATCAGACACAGGAAGCAGGTAAGGGATAAGGAGGGTTACGAGTAAACCTAATTAGCTATGCAGCATAAACCATAGCTCTGCAAGTTGTTTTAGGTGGGCCAAACAGGATAAGAGCTGGGAGTGATGGAGTTGTGGTCCCTGCAGCAGAAGGATGATTCCCAGAGCTCTGGCCATAGCCTGGCACACAGAGAGAGAGTTCAGCAAAGCCTGCTTTTGCAGGACCACAGGAAGGCATTCCAGCACTTGGAAAAGGAGGGAATCCTCTCATTTGACACAGTCTTTATCATGCACTCCTTCAAATTCCCTCTAAACCTAGAATGACTCACTGTTGATAAGTTGCATAGGATGAATTCTAAACTGAAACAACTCACACAAAGGTAAAGCAGACATGTGGGCACTGCATCTGACTGGTCTGTACTTGTAGACAATGCCATTTCAGCCTTGCACAATAACATTATCAACACCAAAGTACCTTCAACTATAAACCAGAGACACAGATTTATAGCTGTCACGGTACTGTGATAGTATTGTTGCCATAAAATTTTGGCACCATTTGGCATGGCGCATAGAACTCCATTGATGTTGGCATCTACCCCATCAGAAGTAGCAGCCAGACCCCCGATCCCTTCTCCCCATTACGCCCTCCAGCAGGGAGGGCAAAACAAGGCTTCCCTGGCAACATTAATATCTGCATGCAGGGAGAGAGGACGGAGGACTTGGCTGTGTACCTGCTTATATGGGGAGACATATTTGCTGGCCGTCTCTGGCACATGGTGAAATGGGAAATGGCAAGTTCTCACTCCCCTCTAAGGCTGAGTCTGGGAACAGAGAATGCAGGCGCTGCGCAGTAGCCTGCCTCTCTGGAGGAAAACTTGTTACTGGAGATCTTTTGTGTTGTTCTTAATGATTCAGCTCTTGGGTTTACCACTCGCTGATAAAACATTGGGCGTTGCTTTAGCTATAGCGCATGGTAAATAGAGGGAAGGGAGTCTTATGTCTCAGGCTCACAGGCTGATACAAACAGGGAATTAACTTGCACTATTCAGATGGTCTAAGAAATTGTATTTTAATTCCATATAATCAAAACTTTAATAAAATCAAGTATTTTGTCATAACAAGACAGAACCTGGATTTCAGATACTGGGTATCTGCAGCTAGTAAGCCTCTGCCACAGATAGAAAGAAAAAAAGATAGAAATGGGTGGTGAATCCTTCTAAATCCCCAGGTCTTATATAAAGTAAGCAATGTGCCACTGTTCCGAAAGCAGCCATGGGGAGGGGAGAATTACAAAGGAAAGCACGAGGGTGGGGATGGAAAGTCAACTAGACAAAGTAACAAATACTGTCAGCACAGGCCAGGGGCATGGGAGAGGGCACTGTTAAGATGAGTGTAAAAGTAAGTAATGTGATAATTGGCATTCTTCTGACTGGGACCAAAAAGTCGTATGTGCCTTGCAAAGAAGTTTGCAGAGCCTGCAGTTAGCATATTTGTTAGCTTGGTGCATGTTTTTATGACAGACTGACCTTCCTTTAGTCTCTGAGCAAATCCATGTAAAATGCAGAGTCTTTCCCACTTTGCTTCTGGAAGGATATGTTAGGATGTGGCTCCTGCATTTCTCTCTTCTAGTTTTGCCAGACATACCAGGCCAAGAAGAACTTGACTGGATTTCTCGGCATATGCCTATGATAACAAGGACCAGACAAGCACCGAGAGCCCTCCAGCAGAAATACCACAGTCTCCCCCAGCTTGTAACAGTAATTCTCTTCCACAGATAAAGCCAACATGACCCACCAATTCCCAGCGCTGACTGCAGAGCAGAAGAAAGCTCTTTCAGACATCGCCCAGCGGATTGTGGCTTCAGGAAAGGGGATCTTAGCTGCCGATGAATCAGTGGGTGAGTTTTGGATATTAATCAATTAGCAGTACCCAAGACTTTTTTCTTCTAATTTTGCTTCATCTTTGAAATCAGTGGAATAAATGAAAAACACTTAAAAACTGTTGACTGAGCAGGAACAATTCAGCCAGGCAAGGCTGCGTCTATAGCAACAAAAGATGACAAACTGTGGGTTGAGAAGGCAAGCTGTGAACTGAAGCCCCAGTTCATTGCTACATGCTGCAACCAGGAGGTCAGCCAAGCCTAACACCTCTCTGTCTGACCTCTGTCCACCACTCTAGGTACCATGGGGAACAGGCTGCAGAGGATCAATGTGGAGAACACAGAGGAGAATCGCCGGGCTTTTCGAGAGATCCTCTTCTCTTCAGATGCTTCCATCAACCAGAGCATTGGGGGAGTGATCTTCTTCCACGAGACTCTCTATCAGAAAGACAGCAGTGGAAAGCCATTTCCAGCTCTCATCAAAGAAAAAGGCATTGTGGTGGGAATAAAGGCAAGTACCTGTACAATGTCTGGCTGGCAGAATACTCCAAACCCCATTTCCAGTGAAAATTATATATGGGGCCGCACTGTCTCCATCAAACACTTTTCTCTTTTTTGTGCTTGGTTTTAACATCATTAGAGAAACTCTGCCACCATTCTCTGCATTGCTTTTGTACAACTAATGAGGGGCACATTTGCTTTTGGTGCAGGAACTTTTCATCCACCAACTCCCATCTACTCATCATTCACTGCAATTAAATCCCTTCATGTAGTAACCTAAATCCATCCCTTTCAGCCTGGAGCTGTTCCCTGTAGCCACCCACACACCACCCCTTCCTCTTGCCCAGTTCCCTCTATTCCTTTCCCTTTGCCTCAGCCCTTCCCTCCTTTGCATTCTTACCCTGTTCAGACCCATACTTTGGTCACAGCCAGCCTGCAGAGCCAGACTAGCCATGGGTAAGAAGGATGAGACTGATCTCCACCTCTCTGTAACCCTTCCTGCCTTTCTGCTCTCCACAGCTGGACAAAGGCACAGCACCCCTAGCAGGAACAAATGGAGAAACCACCATTCAAGGTAAGGAGAGATCTAAGCTATGACTGGTGCAGCAGAAGCTGCAGGGTGCCTCTCCGCGCTGTGCCCAGTACAAGAAAGATGGTGCTGACTTTGGCAAGTGGCGTGCAGTGCTGAAGATCAGCAGCACAACACCCTCTCAACTCGCCATCCAAGAGAATGCCAACACATTGGCACGCTATGCCAGCATCTGCCAGCAGGTATCTACCCTCCAGCCACCTCTCTCGAGATGCTGCTGCCCCTTCTCACTGTTCCCTGTGATAACACGCTAGGTAACTTGAAAGGCGGATCTCTGTGAGGGTTTTGGGAATGATGTGGGAGAAGGGCAGCACAGCAAGAAGGAATACCACCAAAGTCAGGGTAAACAACAAGGACAGGTTTTCTTCCACACCTCCAAAGACCTCCCTGTTTTTCTTTTCTTAGCATGGCCTGGTGCCCATTGTGGAGCCAGAAATCTTGCCTGATGGAGACCATGATCTCCAGCGCTGTCAGTATGTCACAGAAAAGGTAAGAGATTCCTGCCCCTCTCCTCCCCCTCACAAAACAGTAGCTAATCTTATGCAGAGATTGTGTTCACAGATCTCAAAGAGTTTTGACCAAGAAGGTGCTTTGTAACTGCGTCACAAAAAATGAGTTGCTCACAGTCGAATAATGAGTTTATAGCAAATGCGAGAGCAGAACACGTGCTTTTCAATCTCCACTCAAAACACCAATATAAACATTCTCAGTGTCAAAAAGATGGATTGGGAGCAAAAGCACTTACCCCCTTTCAGTACCTCAGTTGGCAGGGACACATCCAGTAAATAGCAGGAGTGGTATCCTGGTCATCTCAAAAGCAGTGGTATCTTTGGGGCTGCAACCCCTGAGATAAATTTAATGAGACAGCAAAGTTCAATTTGATCTCCTCACACTCCCAAGTAATAAGCTGTTTTTCCACAGCAGGCTGAGGTGAAGATTTGAGCAGAGGTCTCTATTCAATCCTCCTGTTTTCAGGTTCTGGCTGCTGTCTACAAGGCCTTGAATGATCATCACGTGTACCTGGAAGGGACACTGCTGAAACACAACATGGTGACGGCCGGGCATTCCTTCCCCCAGAAGTACACCCCCCCGGATGCCCCACCCCTCAGGATGTCGCCGTAGCAACTGTCACTACTCTTCTCCGCACCGTTCCTGCTGCTGTTCCCGGTGATTCCTGATGCATGCCTGTGTACCCACTCACACTGTCACCCTTGCCAGCTTTGCTCCTACATCGGACACGCTCGCTCCTCTGGAGCACTCCATGCCTAAGCCTTGAAACTTCTTCCTTGCAGGAATCTGCTTCCTCTCTGGAGGTCAGAGTGAAGAGGAGGCTTCTGTCAACCTGAACGCCATGAATCAGTCCCCTCTGCCTAAGCCTTGGAAACTGACCTTTTCGTACGGGAGAGCCCTGCAAGCCTCTGCGCTGGCAGCATGGGTGGGCAAAAGTGAGAACAAGAAGGCTGCGCAGGAGGCTTTCCGCAAGCGGGCGCAGGTAGGAGGCTTCCCCCCAGCGCAGAGAGGACCTGCTCACCATGAAGTTGTCACCTTCCTAAGGCTCCCCTTGTTCCCACCCCTCCTGGTGCTTCATATTCACCAGGGGTGCTACTCTGTTATTTTCGCCTTGCCTGGTGACTCCTGCTGTCTTTCTACATTTATTTTTCTTATTCCAAGCTAACTGCTTTCCCCACCTTTCTGTTTGTTTTTCAGATTAACAGTTTGGCTTGCAGAGGACAGTATGTCGTGGCTGGGAAGACTGACACAGCTGCCACGCAGTCACTTTTCACTGCCAGCTACACCTACTGAAAGTGCAGGCGCCTTCCTTCATCCTGACCCTCTTCACAAGGTGGAAGATGTTCAGAAATGAAAGAAAACCAAAGAAATCTAATTTCCTTTACCCTGAACAAAACTGGGGATAAAACTGATTAGATCTCTCTCCACCCTTCGCTCCCACAGTGTACGGAGGGAATATTCTTGTTTCATCTGCACATTCCAAGGAAGGGAAGTTCTCTCCATACAACAAACAACAACTGCCAATGAACCATGAACCCATTCTCCCTCTGGTTTAAACTTAGTTCCCAGAATAGTACGCAGATTAAGTAGTTCCCTAGCAATTCAAATACATACCCTTGCCTGTTACCATGTTTTCAGCCGAAATCCTGAATTACAAAACCTGACTGTGTCTTCAATCATGGGAATAAATCAGTAATTGGAAACTAATCTCCATTTCACAATTCTTTATTCTGTGTAAACTTTACAGTCTCTTTCACACATCTGTGGTCTTCAGTAGCCTGTCTAAAGATTAACTCACAAAGCGTGACTGCTGATGAGCCTGGGAAACCCGGAGGAGGTCAAAGGGAAATAATCCAACAGTGATACAGCTGCGGATGTTAATCCCGCTGACTGCAGCCTGACGCACGCTGAGAAAACTTAAGAGGTGTACATGGCGAGCAGCGTGCTGGACTCAGGCCACAGACAAATAACACCACCGTCTGAAGCGTCTCGTGTCTCTGGACACATGAGGAGGCTGCTATATATCGAGGTGGGGTTGCATAGGTTGAGTCAGTGCTGTGCAAAGACTGTTTTTCCAAAGCGCTTTTAAGGTGGCGTTTTCCACAATAATTAACATAAAACACACAGGAAGGCATCCTGGCCCACAGTCTGACCTTTGGCATGTTGCTGTGTACCTGTCAGAGGTGCAAGCTAAAGCACAGTTAGACAGTTGTTATGAAAAAAACAGGCGTAAACGGCAGAAACAGCGGGCCTAAGGTTATGCAGGGATATTTGCCAGGCTACACCAAGCAACTAGAGACACCTTGGAGCAGCCCACCGACCGGCAAAGGCCCCGCAGCCCAGCAGACACCCGCCCCCTCCCTCCCTGGGACCGAGCCCGCGCGGCCGGAGCCCAGCTCTGCGGCCGCTGCTCCCAGCCAGCGGCACCATGGCTCCCGCCCGCAGGGCGGAGCGGGAAAGCGGGGAAAGCCACGGCCCTGCGGCCTCCTCCTGTTCCCCGCGTTGGCAGCCGCCCTTTCACAGACGCAGCAGATTGCCAAACTCCTTCATGCGGGTCCAGTCACTGCACGATCAATGCGTGCCGTTAGTCCGGCCTGACCCGGACCGCGAGCGAAGGACAAGCGACTCGCCAAGACACGCTCCAGAGGCCAGAGCCACGAAGAACGCCTCTCTTCTGGTTCGGTTTGGGTCCTGCCGGTCTCCCCGCACCCGGGTTCAGGTAAAGCTGTGCCCATGACGACAACCATCCTGCCCATCTGCGCAGGTCGCTTCCCTGGAGAGCGGAAAAAACGCTCCCCGAACCGGCAAAAGAAACCCCCTCGCACGGTGTAAAACTACAGCGGTAGCTCTGCCCAGTAACCTTTGCGATGCCCCCGCCCCCCCCGCCTCAGCGCTGAGGGGGCGACCGCTAACGGCCGTGCGCGCGGCGGGACTACAGCGCCCGCGAGGCAGCCCGCGTTACGCTCCGTGGCGGTTAATTC